ATGTTAAAACTGCTTTCTTGCATGGTGAATTAGATGAGAAAATATATATGAAACAACCTGTCGGTTTTGTGGATGCTAAGAAATCTGATTATGTGTGTTTGTTGAAGAAATCCTTGTATGGTTTGAAACAATCTCCTAGGCAATGGAACAAGAAATTTGATATGTTCATGCTTTCTTTAAAGTTTAAGAGAAGTTCTTATGATCATTGTTTGTACTTTAAAGAAAATGCGAATGTTCCTGTTTTTTTGCTCATTTATGTGGATGATATGTTGCTGGTCGGTCCTTGTATTAAGTCTATTGAGCATGTTCAAAAATGTCTAAGTGATAAATTTGATATGAAAAACTTTGGAGATGCTAAAAGGATTCTTGGAATGAACATTATTCGTGATAGGAAAAACTCTGTGATTTTTCTTAATCAAATTTCTTATGTGGAGAAGATTTTGAGTAAATTTTCTATGTCGTCCGCAAAATCCGTGAACGTTCCTCTTGCTGCCCACTTTGTGCTAAGTAAGGATCAGTCTCCTAAGACCGATTCTGAAATTGATTTGATGAAAAATGTGCCTTATTCAAATGCAATTGGTTCTGTGATGTATCTCATGGTTAGTACTAGGCCGGATATTGCATATGCTGTTAGTTGTTTGAGTAGGTACATGTCTAATCCGGGTATGCCTCATTGGGAAGCTCTTAAGTGGTTGTTACGTTACTTGAATGGTTCTATGCATGTTGGTCTGAAATTTTCTAAGTGTTCTGAAGGTGTTAAACTTGTTGGCTATGTTGATTCGAATTATGCAAATGATAGAGATAATAGGAAATCAACAACTTCTTATGTGTTTACTTTGTGTGGCTCTTGTGTAAGTTGGAAATCACAACTACAACATATTATTGCCTTGTCTACGATCGAATCTGAATATGTGGCTGTAACTGAGGCCTTGAAAGAGGCTGTTTGGTTGAAGGGTCTTTTGTGTGAAATCGGTTTGCTTGAAAAAGATGTTGTTGTGTTTTCCGATAGCCAATCGGGGATTCAATTGTGTAAAAATCCTGTTTTTCATGATCGCACTAAGCATATAGACGTTAGGTTTCATTTCATTCGTGATATTGTGTCTAAAGGCTTAGTTAATCTTGAAAAAATTGCATCCGAGTTTAACCCCGCTGATATGGGAACTAAGTGCTTACCTGTTGAAAAATTCAGATTGTGCATGAGAACTTTGAACTTCGATTCGTGTGATTGATGTGCTGTAATTTATGTGTGCTCGTAGGTAGTGTACTATGTGTTTGCTGCCTGTTTTGATACTTGTTCTAACTTCGTGAAAGTGCATGTGTCGTCGTTTGGCGATGATGAAAGTCCTCCGGCCCCTCAAGGTGTTCGGTATTCGGTGGTGGGCCAAATTGGTGGAGAAATGTTAGGATATTTGGCCCAGTAACCAAATCCTTATCTCAGGACCAAGGAAGTCTCGGCCCATATTCCCGTCTGGGCCTGGCCCTTTACCCACTTACCTGGCAGAATGTCCTTGACCGTTGGATTTAGGGGATTAATCCCAGCTCTCCATCCTAGCCTTAAATACCTCACACTCTAACCCTAAATCAGATTGCACTCATCTCACCTCTCTCTCTTACCTGTTGCGCGACAGATTCTCTCTCTGTGAGTGAACCACACCGATCGATCTCCTCTCTTAATCTGTTCTTCGTGACCACCTTTGAGAGAGCCACTGTGAGAGACACTGTGAGAGTCGTCGGAGTGCCGCCGTCTTGCCGCCTCTTTACCGTCGCACCGTCGTCTAGCTCTAATCGCCGGCAAGAGCCCGTTGGGCTTCCAGGCAAGTCTCTCTCTGAGACGTGAGCTTAGGTGACGGGGTGACCGGGTGCGTGGCTCGTGTGTGAGGTGCAGCCCGGGGATTGGGCCGAGGAACCGGGGCTGCCGTCCGTTGGCCACCACCGAGCCTCTACTTACCGAGGGTGCCGGGAAAGAAGATAATCTGAGCCGGGAGACTTCGTGTCGTCATTATCCGGCCAGATTTCGGTCGAAAGGGAGTTCTTCGTTCCTTCACTTTAATTTCCTTTTTCCAGCATTTTACTTGGTATACATTTTTCCCTTTTCTTCCTTAGTTTGCTTGATGTTAATTCTTTGTGTTGTGTGTTGTTATTTGCAGCTGAGAACGAGTAAAACCGGGCTGAAACGGGAGCTGGAAACGAGCGGCTGGAACCAGCCCGAGAGTTCGAACAACATACGGGGAGTCCTGAACACACGAGCAGCATTCTGAGATAGTAGAGGGCTTGCATTGCGGACAGACGAGCAAAAAGACGAGCTTCCGCTGCGTACGAGTCAACCGGTGGGAACGGGACGACCACTTAACAATGAAGAGTCTTAGTAGTGACTTAACCATAAAAATAGGAGTTCTTGAAATCTTGGTTTCATGCGAAAACTAAGTTTCGATAGTTCAGTGAAACACTTCAAACATATTCGCTCATTTCTAGAATCGTTACGTGTAAAATCTGCCTAAGTAGTAAGGTTAAGTCAAGAAGTTTTATGATTCCTATACCTAAGGGTGGATCAAGGTGAGGCACTCTTTAAAGAAAAAATACCTTTGTGTGTGAGAAGTAATTGGTCGCTTCAAACAAACATTTACTAAACCCAGATATAGTTAACAACCAAAAATGTACACAACGTGAGACCATTAAAGTGTTAGGGTTGTTGTTGTGTGAATACCATTGTATTGGTACACACAAACGGCTAGTAAGTTAAAGCATCGCGCTACTAACTGGCTAATGTATAATATAGTGTTTTACTACAAAAGATTCAAAATCACAAGCTATCTATCCTGATACATAAATGGTTCGCTGAAACTCTTAAATATTGCATTCATGCATTAATTTAAGTCATGTGGGGAATTGTTAGAAAAATTAATTTTGTACCGATTTTATGGTTATACTTTTCGTAATTGGAAGACCCAGAGTACAATTTCAAACTATTTTAGGTTGAAGGATAAATTAATATTATGGTTGAAATATGGGGGAATTTGAATTTATGTAATTCAAAATTAAGTTTAATTAACTTAAAGATTGTTGAAATCACAAATGTTATGTTTTTGACAAATGCTTGAACAAGCCAAACGAGCCATAATCATACAATATGCTTGATATAACTCTAGAAGTGTTTGTTGGGGATGAGTAGAAAAAAAAAAACACTAAAAAGGGAACATGATTATGAATCCTAACGAATGCGTACATGCTCCTGGCGTGCATGCACGCTCCAGACTCCGACACCGACACGACGCGTGATCAGTCCGCTAGTAGGGCACATCGAGCATGCGATCTAAACGAACATGCTCGTGCCGAAAAGGTTCCAACTCAATTTTGTACTACCAGACACGTCTCAGAAGGTGTCTTTTGATGGCATAAACCGTGCAGATATCTAAGAACATCTACAAACACCCATATGATTGAAATGCATATAATACTAGAGAAGTCAACATAAAGACAAGAAATTGACATATAACATAAGATAGTTCATGCTCATCATGTATTTATTGTTCTTACTTCTTGTGAGTTCTAAACGCAAGTAAGTTCCTTGAAATCTTGTGTGTTTGAAGTGTCGCTGTACAAAATATAAAAACCATTGTATCTTGGAGATCTTTGTCGAAAATCTTGGCATTAATCGGTGGCAATTTCGTCTTATACTGGCTGTGTGTTTCACGTGCCTCGATTATTTATTGATTTTGTTGATTGAGTTTGTTTGAGAGCCATGTTCGTGGTTCATATTCATGGGTCGATCGAGCCATTAGTAATCATTCCTAGTTCTTGTTTTGATTTGCCATTCTGCACAAAACAGACATGTATACACACCCTAACATGCTTCTTCTGAAATAAATATATAGCAATGCTATAAAGTATCAATGATTTTACAGCCATTCATGATATAAGCAGCTTCTCATGCTTTGATCTGCTGTCCTAGCAGTCCAAGATTAGAATTTAAAAGTCATTGATCACTGATATTTTAGTAAAGACGAATTGAATCCACCACAAATGTGCTTCATGGGGACTTCAAAAAATTCTGCTTATATATTGTCTTCGTCACAAACTTATCGCCCTCGGCCATTCGTTTGCTTCAGGGATCCATAATAATATTACAATGGGCAGCTCATCTTTAAAAGAAAACACATCCAAATTCGTCTTCCCAAAATACTATTAATTACTTACCATTAATAGTACCACACTGAAGCCTGTAGGACCACGCTGCACAGCTATGAGCATTTTGTAAGTTTGAAAGATATGTAGTTACTTTTGTGTACCCTTTATAACATATCTATACCGTTCCTCCAGGTTTGGTACATTTGCTTTTTCTTACATGTTGGCAGTTCGTTCATTACAATGAACAGAGTTTCAACTTAAGCACAAGCACAAAGTTAAGATGGCTGCAAACTTTTTTCTTAAATGGCAAGTTAAAAAAAGCTATCAGAAATTCATAGTGGTGAAACTTTGAGGCTAATTATGTCAAGGCGCGATTTACCGGGTGAAGCAACATCCGACAGTGGACGGGAGGCTTCACACTGAAGTCAAGCTGAAGTTTGACTATTATAAGCTACCATCATGGATAATAGATGGTGTCAATTGTCAAAGCAGAAACAGTCGAACAATTAACAGTACAATGGCCAAGAAAAGTCTTTGAATAAATTTAGTATGTCATTAGTACATAATTCCTGCAGAGTTACAGCCGACTGCTAATCAGGACCATTTGTTGGCTAATTAATAATAGATCCTTAGCATCAAACAACCTAATGATGGATACATACATATGGATTCAGACTTCAAAAATAGATACTAGAATTACTGTTGGAGCAAATAGCCAAATACAACAGCTCTTTTTTTTTTCCTATTAAATGTCATCAGGCTTTAACATACAGCACAGAAGCAGAGGATCAAAAGACTCCTGCCACCTGTCCAGCGTAATCGTTCGGAAAACTAACCTGTTTTGTGCGCATGTTATTTATCACATCCATAAGACTTTAGCAAACGACCACATTTGTCTTGGATTTTCCACGCAAACTGGAAAAGTTGATGCCCCTCGCAACAAGATAAATGATGAAGCTAACATATGCAACTGCAAAAACTGAAACTGCTGAGGTAAACAGTGCACCACTCCCTTCGGATGAGAAGAAATCCACCATCAGATATCCGTTTATCATTATCACCAGAGCCGCAACAAGCCATGATATAACCTGCAAAACAGAAAATATGTAAATTTTCCAGCTTTTCTTTTATGTTAGCAGAAATGCATTCATCTAATGGAGGCACAGCTCCTGTATATGATATACTCTTTTTATTATTTACTCAATTAATAATCAGTGGAATTCAAAGAGGACTAAGCAGAAATATAATCGGTTTAAAATGACTGCAATTTGTTTCCCTAAGCAAATACATAAAAGTGAAAACTTTTACATTTTAGTTCATGACTGCTCTCCAGATACACCAGTTTCTGTTTTTTCGCAATCATTACCCATTGTTCAAAACCAGATCAACAGTGCAAAAATTACGAAAACATCCTCTGTAATTTGCATGTCATACAGATACTTCAGCAAATGCAATTATAGTAGAACTAAACGAAATCACTCCAAAAGAGAAAACGATGACCCATTGAACAAAATGGCAAAAATGACTCGATAGTACACCTTATTCGAAGAAGAAGAAGAAGAATATAAAACACATTTACAGCATCACACATAGTATATAGATGTAACTGAACATTTGAAGCATGCAAAGACAATTTTTTTATTGTTAAAAAGATAAATCTCGCAAATCTACACATACATCAATATGCAAATCTGATACACCTCAAAATAAACCAAAGAAAATAAAGGGTACCTGAAGAACAGTGCCAATTTTGAAATAGCCCATGATCTCCTCCTTGGAAACCAAACAAAGCAGAGGAATGAGAGCAAAAGGGATCTGAATCGACTGTAGCACGTTCAGCCACTCGTTCAGCACATCCAATGAGTCCTCAGATGTGTCGAATACGAGCGCCACAACCAAAGTCGGCACAATAGCAAAGGTCCTAGTTATCAGGGCCCTCAGCCACTTCTTGAGCCGCAGGTTCAAGAACCCGCCCATAATAAACTGGCCCGCATATGTGCCCGTGATGGTGCTGCTCTGCCCAGCAGCCAACAGACCTATGGCCCATATATATAAAATCGGGAAAAGCCCACCGCCAAACTTATCCTGAAGGTACTGGCCCGCGTTCACTAGGCCTATGCTGTTTGCCTGCTCTGTGCCATAAAATGCCTTTGCAAAAACTGTCGTGACAAACAAGTTGATCATGAAGGAGATGGCGAGTGCAAATCCCGACTCAATCGAGTAGTAAGTGAGGGCCTCCCGAACACGCCCGATCTTGCGGTTGTCCACGTCTCGGGATTGGACGAGGGCTGAGTGGAGGAACACGTTGTGAGGCATAATGATGCAGCCCACAACCCCGACTGCTTGTTGTATTGTGTTTGAGCTGAGCTTTGGAACCAAAACACCTACAGAGCATGTTTATGTTTAATCTATCAGGGATTGAAAAAAATTGCATTTTGTTAGGAAGGTGAAAAAAGCATTTTCTCACCAATTACAAGTTCACCACCGCTGGGCTTAGTTTCACCGAACATCCACGCAAAGGAGATGGCCATGGTTGCTATGAGGACTGCGAAAAGTGCTTCTAATTTCCTCACGCCGTAATTTTCCAGAAACAGAAAGATGAAGCTGTGACAAGAAAAAAATGATGAGACTACTGTAGAATTTATAAATGTTTTGAACCACCCTATAGATATTAGCAAGCATTTATGACCAATCCTATATCACACTCATCCATCACAATATTGCAGATATCAACTCAATAAACACCAACAAAACTTGAATGAAAACCACAAAAACTGACCAGAAAAGGAAACAATTAAAAAATAAATAAAATTACACCAATACGAAATATATAATAATCATTTGAAATCCGTACCAGTCAAGGGCCGTGATAATCACCCCAGCCCACAGAGGCAAAACCCCCTGGCTTAAAATCTTGATAGCAATAGCACTCCCAATGACCTCCTGAATATCGGACCCAATTAGCGCCAGCTCAGCCATGACCCAGAGCAGCAGCCTGGCCCAATTAGGATACTCCTCCCGGCACAGCTCCGCCAGGTGCCGGCCCGTCGCTACCCCGAGCCGGGCCGAGAGCAGCTGGACCAGGAGGCCCATGACGGTGGCCCATAGGAGCAACCAGAGGAGGGAGTAGCCGGCGATGGCCCCGGACTGGAGATCCCCCTCTAGGTTCCCCGGATCCAGGAAGGCGATGCTCATCAGGAAGCCCGGCCCGGTGAACAGCCACAGCTTCCTCCAGGAGAACGGCGGCGGCCTGGTGGAGTAGTCGTCGGCTCCCTCGTCGACCCCGATGATCTGGACTTTCTCGGTTGAATCGTAGGCTCGCTCCTCCTGTTCTTCTTCGTCATCGCGCGAATCGAGCAATCGGCGGTGCTCCTCCGGACTGTGCTCCGGCATTTTCGCTATTGTTTTCCTTCTAATTTCTTATTGCTACTTGAAAATGGTGACGAGAATCAGTAAAGAGATATTATAGTGATTGGTGAGCGGTAGGAATTTGGAGTTTGGGAAAGTGAGGGAACAATTATATATACACATATGTACGTATATATTTGCAGGTTGCTCACTTTATCGTTAAATCTCAGGTGGGTGGTTCTGCCTCTGCGGATCGTGCCCATCATCCATTAATTTTATTTATTTATTTATTTTATTTAATTTAATTTAATAACTTTTTCCATTGTTTTTTGAAGCTCTATTTTTATATTTATTTTAAAAAAAAATCAATTCCAAACTTTACTTATAAGTTAAGCACAATTTTCACCTTTTTGTCACCTCAATTGATTTTATGTAGTTTTGCGATGGAGACATCGAATGGTTCGGCTGATGGAGTCGTCCACATTTATTCACAAATCTCTTCAATGGTTTGGCTGATGGAGTCGTCCACAGTTATTCACAAATAGTGTATTGACACTGTACTATAATAAATACACTTTGGACATGTGTTAATACATTAAGTGATTGATGGCTTTTTAAAAAAATCATCCGATTGCCCCATAAATTTTTGTGATTTTCTGATCTAATTTAAATTAATTTCATTTGTTTTCTAGGAGATGCTATGGTAATCATTCCGTCGAGTTTTATAACTGTTAGATCAACTATCCCCGACAATTACATGATAATCTAACAATTACAATTTCTGATGTAATGATTTCATAACAAGCCCGTAACATTTTCCGTAACTTTAAGTTTGTGCTTTCGTGGTCCTTGCAGTCACTTTTGTTTCTTTTTTTTTTTCTTTTCCCCATTTTAAATAAACGTAAGTACATATATCTCTGGGCTTAATAAATGGTCACACAAAATCGTGTAGGGCCTCATAGAAAAGGATGCCCAGGCCCAAGGGACACCAAAACCCATAAAAAAGTTGAAATTACGGTGATGACGTGGCGGGGAGGTGCCAGCGAGGCAAACTAACGGTGACGGAGGCGGTTACCGCAAATAGAAAAACGTCGTCGTAGCGCGCGCGGGCGTGTGTTGGTTTGGAGGCAGCCCGTGGTTGGTTTAGGCCCATTTTTTAATGGGTCACGACAAATTATGGCATGCCCAATCCAGACCCGTTTCCATAAAAGTCCAAGAATTTTGTACAAAGGTGAATCATAATCTGCAAAACCTTCACGGAATCAACGTTCAAATCTTGGAATTTTTGTTACACTATTATTGGGAAATTAATTATTCTGATAAGTATGCACGATATGATTGGCACATAAATAGTGAAAACCCTAAAAAACATTGATTTTGTATGAATTGTATGTTTTATTTTTCGTAAAATTTAAAAGTTAGAAGACAATGTAAAAACCATTGAAATTGAATAACACAACTAGTACAAATGTTAGTTAAAAAAGTTATACTTAAATTCAAGTTTTTTTTTTTTTATTTATATTTCAAATACTTTAAAAAATTGCATTATCATTTATATTTAAAATAAAAATTTTCATTTGAACGGTTGATCCACCTTGTATTAAAATACTTAAGCTATGGGGTATAAATTGTTGTTGGGGTCAACACTCACTCCAGTCAGCAAGATACCTAGATTATGTCTCTTTAAGTGACAACTATCTACACCAATTAGAGGCCTACATTTCATTCTGAATCCCCTTTTCAATGCATTAGAACTTACTGAATCTGGTTTCACCATTTGAAGTCATAGTGTCAAAGATGACAGTGCTTCTAGGATTGGTCTTCCTCAAATCATCAGAATAGTCCCACAACTTAGAGAATTGCACAGAAGGATCACCTTGTATCACTTTCAAAGCTCTCCTCTTGGCCCTGTATGCTTGTTGCCTGGACACATCAACCCCAAGCTTTTTAATCACTTCAGCCCTCCACCCTTTGGTAGTCCTCTTAAGATTAGTCTCAAAAGTTTCAAGATACTTTTCACTCAACCATCTAATTTTTAGATTCTTCAAAATGAAATCTGGTTGACAAGTGTTATTAGGAAAGTAAGTAAAAATTATGAAAGCTTACACTCAACATATACCCTTCTATTGTCATTCTTTGTGAACTTTAAGTTTCTTTTTGAGCTAATAGCATGAGACTGAATTGTCTTCTTAAATTCTGTCTTAGTAGCAAAAACCATGCCTAATTCAAATGTTGGATTGAAAATAAGTGCAGGGTTGAAAACAGGCTCACTTGGCTCACACTCTTCATCAAACACCCTATACTCATCTAATTGAGGGCTATCAATAACCACATCATCTTCCTCATCATCATTATCTGAATGATTGACATCTTTGTCTATATCTTCAGGTCCTGAATGATTAACATCTTTGTTTATATCATCATTATCTGAATGATTGACATCTTTGTCTATATCATCAACATGCTCTTCCCACAAATCATCATCATCTTCACTATCAGTTTCAGGGCTCATGTTGTATTCAGAATCATTTAATTCATCAGAATCAGATTTATTTTCATCCACAAGCCTTTTCCTACCTAAGTCTCTACCCATGACTTCTTCCCTTGGTAACCAGGTGGAACACAATGTCTTCTTATTAGTATCATTTGGAACATAAGCAAGAGCAGATTTAGGGTCTTTAGACTGAATACAAGTGTAACGCCCAACCGGCCGAGAACTGCTTCGAGCTCGCCTTCCTCGCCGGTAGAACGCCGAAACCTGTAATAGAACTCTCGCACCGGAGGGGTTTTCCGTGAAGAGCCTCCAACGCTCAAGTCAGCCTTGAGAAGATGAATATATGTGTAAGTATGTAAAAGTACGAGAGATTGTTCTTAAAATGAGAGACCTCGTCCCTATTTACAAGGACGAGTTACCTGCTTCCCACGCGCGGCTTGGGCGAGTCGAGCAGGTCACCCTCCCTGCTTATCCGTACGATCGCCTGCCTCCACTACCCCGGTGTCAGAGATACGTCATATTGTGTCAGGGAATGTCAGAGACCATTATCGCCCTGGACCACTCGTGGTATGCCGCGTGTCCTCCTCTCACGTGCTGAAGATTCCTCCAAAAGTCCTGCTGTTTCGACCAGATCTGGCACGATCGCTGAGTTGTCCATGTAATGGGGAGTGGTCGATTACACGACCACCTCTATTCGACCATCTTTTCTCTCGACCAGAGCCAAGTGAAGCAGATGCTTGCCCGATGCTGTTGAACCCACTCATTTTCATCTTCGACCTCTTACCCCTGTTATGAGTGTCCGGTTTGACCAGCCCACTAACCCACTTTAGTCAGTTGACCCGTCGGACCGGTCCAGTATACAATATCCCACTACTCTCATACGTGTAGGACCCCATTTCTCTAGTGACACCTACTTGTTTGCACCACATACTCCTAGCTAGCATTCCCAATTCTTGTGGGGTGACATAATCAACTATAAAAACCTTACCTCATTCATATTTTGGTGCTGGGAAATGATGAAAATTTTCACCCCAATGCACAACCAATGTGAAAGAATAAGACGTAGGATCTGTACGTTTTCGGGAAACAAAAAGTTATCGACAAAAAAAAAAAAAAACAAAACAATACACAAATCAAAAGGCAGACATCGACCCTGAAAATGCCAAGCAAAAATCCAGAAAACAAGCACTTACGATATATTGGAGGAGGCAAGTTCTGTTGCATTTTCTGACGCAGGAATCTCATATGCGTTCAATCTTGTGCTCAATTGTGCTTTTGATAAAATCAGTAGTTCGGTTGGAGCGATTTGGGAATTAGGTTATAATGTAAAGAACGATTTTGGGGAAGAAATTTTTTGGCCCAATTTTCTGATTTTTTAGCCTTTTATATGAAGCTGACTCGGCCACGTGGGATGTATAATATTCAGTAGGTAAAATGGGAAAATGTCCTTGTTGTTAAATGAAATTGTAACAACATAAAACGTACACCCCTATTCCGTGAATAGGGGGTATAGGATTTATAGGGATTTGTAGTGATTTTTTGTGTAGAATGATTGTAAGAAAAGAATTGAAGAAAGAAGTTTAAAGGAAGAACTGTATTTTTTCTCTGTTCATGAAGGCGGTGCCTTTTTCATTTGAATAAAGGAGAAAGATTGTTCATATCCCTCAGCGGACAAAAAGTGTCCTTATCCATCATGGGGATTGATATATATATATAGATTTTTATTGACCCCGATATTATTACAAGCGGTATTATTCTTGGGCCTTAATAATAAGATAAAATATAATAATTGATTTAATGTGTATCCACATAATTTAATATATATATCCACGTGGACTATCTTAATAGGCGAGGCCAAAATTGGGTAACAATAGTAGGCCCCCGACTTTAGAATACGTTCGGGATAGAACTGTTCTGAAGTCGCATGTAAAATCAATTTTGGCTGACTTTTGCTTTGTAACATAGTCGAGTTCAATGCTTTTTATGCGGTATTGAATGACATATGGATGTTATTCGGGTGCTTTGGGACCCGTGGTCACTTTATTGATCGTGTTCAGGCTTCGGCCTGACGTATTAACACTAATCGTGTTTTTTGTTCTGACGAATGGAGTTGACTGCGTGGATAGTCAACTTTTTGAGCTTGCTATATAAATGGAGGCCTGGACGGCCTAATCGAATAATTTGGTACCCAGTTTTTCGCGTTTTGCACGTAATATGACGCATTTTAATAGATTCGCGTCCGTAATGATGGCTTTGTATGAGTACTCGGGCCCCATGATACTGTTATGGGATTCGCGATTTTGATGTTGTATTGAGACGACGCGATTTTTTTTTTTTTTTTTTTTCGTATTAATGTGGACCTGGTCGGATAATTCGTTATCCGGTCCTCGGTCTGATTTTTATTGAATTATTGCACGATCGGGCAGTGCTCCCGATGTTTCATGTGATTTTAAGAAAGGCGTTAGCCTCGCCAAACCAACTTCAGGGTTTAGAAAAGATTGGGCGTATAGCCTTGCCAAACCAACTTCAGGGTCTGGAAAAGAAGTATTCA